AGTCTCTCATACAAAAATTTATACATACATTGTTATGTGACCCTAGTTGCTCTCCCTATACTGTGACAGCACACTCCTCCTTTCCATTCTGGATTTCCCGTGTTCATTCAACCAGCTCCCAACCCTCAATGCTTTCTCATCTCGCCTCCAGACAGGAGCTGCCCATTTAGTCTCATGAATCTACTTGAGCTAAGAAGCACACTCTTCACAAGTATCATTTTATGTCCCATAGTCCAGTCAAATCTTTGTCTGAAGAGTTGGCCTCGGGAATAGTTTTAGTGCTGGGTTGACAGAGAGTCCGGGGGCCATGTCTTCTGGGGTCTGTCCAGTCTCAGACCATTAAGTCTGGTCTTTTGACTAGAATTTGAGCAGGGATTTAATTTCTTTCCTCTCTTGATCATTTTGTTTTGTTTTGCGAGTAAGCAAATGCGTTCATCCGCACTTCCTTTCTTACACAACGGGCATATGATATGCCTTGTTCCACACTTTGTTTTCATCTAATCTCTCCTGGAGATCACTCTGAATCGGTTCATGGAGATCTTCTTCATTCTTTTCTGTGGCTCAACAACCCTTAAAAAAATCTTTTTATTACAGAAATTTTCAAACATATACAAAATCAAGAGAGATTAATGCACCCTCACGAAGCTTCAAACAGCGGCAATGTGCGGCCAGTTCTAGAACGGCCCTTTAGGAATCTAGCCACACAAGCTTGCAGGATGCGGTGGCAGGGGACATGATGGGATAGACACTTTCAGTCCAGTGTGTGGCGAGGGGACCAGCCCCCCACCCCTCCCCCTCCACTCACCTGGGTGCTCACCTCGTGCCAGGAACTAGGGACACAATGTGCTTCTGACTGTTTTGTCTCTGCTCACAAGGAAAACTGTGAGACGCTAGTGGGCTAAGCCCACTAATATGTGGACAGAGGATTCCAGGCAGCAGGTAAGTGCTGTTACAGAGGCAAGACAGCGCTGAGCGCCCGAGAAAGGAGCAGCTCACTGCCCAGTGGAGTTAGGAAGCTGGATCTGGAAATCTCTACAGTGGACTGTGGGAGATCATCTGATGTGGCAAGAGCTGGGATTTACACAGGACTGCTGCCAGGACTGGAGCCTGAATGGGAGCGGGAGAAACTGAGGCTGCAGGTTGGTTAACCTGTTGCTGTCGATTGACTCATGGTGACCGTGTGTTACAGAGCAGAACTGCTCCCTAGGGTTTTCTTGGCTGTAATCTTTACAGAAGCACATTCTGCGGCACCACTGGATGGGTTTGAACCACTAACGTTTAATAGTCAAGAGCAAACCGTTTGCTCCACCCAGGGACCTGCAGGCTGCTGAGGCCAGTACTATCTGCTGCATGAGAGCTGAGGCCTGAACTAGGGCAGGAATAATGGAGACGGAGGAGTGACTTCTGAGGTAAATGTGACCCATCTGTTGTGGGGGAGAGCAGAGAGTTCCTACGTGTGCAGCTGTGGAACTGGGCGGCTCACAATATCATTACACACGATCAGCACAAGGGTAGACAGTGTGCGTGTGTGTGTGAAACCAGAGGTTTGGACAGACTGAGTTCTCCTTGTGAGTAGAGACCCACTATACATAAGTAACTTTGTGTCCTTAACGCCCGGGACTCTGTCTCCAAAGAAACTGTTAGAAACCCACACAAAGGGTCTGTGCATCCTCAGTAAGGCTTACTCATTGCCCTCGTGTTCATTCCAACTCATGGTGACCCCACGTTTCAGAGTAGTACCTCTACCCATAGGGTTTTCAATAGCTATGACCTTTCAGAAGTAGATTGCCAGGCCTTTCTTCCGAGGTGCCTCTGTGTGGATTCAAACAGGCAACCTTTTGGTTAGCAGCCCAGCAACACCCAGAGACTCCTCAGTGAGATTAGGCATTAACCCCATTTAAAAAACCCAACCTGCTGCCATTGAGTTGATCCCATGTGTTAGAGTAAAACTGCTTCATACAGTTTTCTTGGTTGTAATCTTTATGGAAGCAGATCACCAGGCCTTTCTTCTGTGGAGTTGCTGGGTGGACTTGAACCACCAACCTTTAGGTTACCAGCTGATTGCAAACCACTTGCGCCACCCAGAGACTTCAATCCATTTGAGGGGAGAGTAAACAAAGTTTAGAGGGATTAAAGACCTTGTCCAAACACAAGGCTCTGGTCTGCCCACCACAGGCCCCCCACTGCTGGGCTCTTAGGGAGCACAGCCCCCGGACTGTCATGGCTACTCCAACCGGGACAGCTCAACTGCAGGGTTTGACGGAGGCGCCCAGAGGCCAGCACAGGGCCCCAGCCCAGGTGGCTCAAAGGTAAGGGAAAGACACCCTGTATCACCAGCTCCCTCATGACCCTGGCCAACTTCATCATCTCGTTTGCTTCTCCTCCTTGGTTGAAAACAAAAAGAACTGGATTGGCCAACGACAACCAGTTGTAGAATACTATACAGTTCATAAAGTTCTTGCATAAATCAGCGCATTGATTCCTCACAAACACCTTACGGAGTTTTATTACCTTGATAAGACAGACAAGGCCACGGGCTTACACAGGTGAAGGGCCCAAGACCACACCCCCTGCTTCAAATGGGGACTCCAGACCAAGGCTCTGACTCCACATTTCCTGGTATCTTCCCTGCCCCACACCATCTCCCACAAACCTCCACAGGCCCCTTGGGCTAACAAGAGTCCCCAGCTGGGGGCCGAGGGCAGGAAACTTCCCAGAGACTCTCCTGCGGCTGAGCGAACAGCGCCTCTTCCAGGGTTGTAGTCCTGCTGGCGGAGGGGAGGGCGAGAACTGAACTCCTCTGGTGTGGAGGGTGTGCGCCTCTGGGGGGAGGGGGGCAAGGGTAAATCAAGTTTTATTTTCGGAACCTGGGGGCAGTGCTCATCACACTCCTCAGGCCACCATCTCAGGCCCCCCTCTCCATACCCCTGCCCGGTCATGGAAACAACATGGCTCTTCACAGCCCGGCTTCCTTCTCTGACACTCGGCTCTTCCGCCGGTGGGAAGGAGAGTTGCCAAAGAACACGGAAGATAAATGAGCCCCCTGCGGATGCGGCAGGCCGGCCACGGCTGGGAAAGCAGCACTGGCCCCAGGAGGAGCCTGGCGGCCGTGGGAGCTGCCAGGCGGCTGTGGGGCAGAGATAACGTGCAGAGGAAGGGTGGAGTAGCAGGATCCCCCAGGAGCGGGCTTTCATGTAAACAATGAGCTGCAGCCCGGCCAGGGTGGAGGTGAGTCATGTCCCCCACCACTCGAAGCCAAGGAGCTGGGCGACCCTGTCCAGGGCACCAACACACAGGTCAGCATCTCCCCCATCTCTTCTGGTAACTAGCTTGACTTCAAGTCTGGGTGTGTCCAAGAAGTGGTCTGGGGGTGCCCTACTGCCCTCAGGAGGCAGAAGCTACTGCTCCCGCCTGAGAACAGACTGGGTTTCAGGACTGGGGCAGCAGGGAGTGGTAACAGTGTTCTCACCCCACCCCCTGGAATCCCCCCCGCCTGCGCCCCAAGGGGCGTCATACTGAGTGCCAGTGGGTGACCAGGGCGACTTTGCAGGCCACCCCTCTGAGCAGTGCCACAGGCGTTGGTTACCCCATTTCAACCCTGGGGTAATAATCCCAGCCAAAAATAGAGAGAGCATCTGGGCTTTCCCATCTGTCTGAAAACAGACAGTAGGGGGCCAGCGCACCCGAGAGGCCAAGCGCTAAGAAGATAGCACGTTTAATAGGGTGCGAACCCCAAACGATCTACACACGTCCACAGGCCCCACTTCTTGGTGGCAATGTCCTTCCAGCTGGAATGCCAACCAGAGGCTCTTCCCAGGATGGGCGGCCGGAAGCAGGCCCCAGGTCTGGAATATAGAGTGGTGCCCCAAGGGGGGCAGCAGTTATGGGCAGCACAGTCGGCTGAGTCCGAGACGGGAAGGGGAAGGTCCACTCTGACCCCACGGCCCCGCCAGTCACTGCTTGGCCTTCTTCACAATGGTGCCCACAGCAGAGATCACCGTGGTCTTGGAGCCGCTGGCACTGGTGGTCACCGTGACGACAGCAGGCAGGGTGGCAGTGGTGGTGAGGATGGTGGGCTGGGCGATTGTCGTCACGGGGATGGCCGAGTCCCACTTGCTCTTCCTCTTCTGGGCATCTGGAGATAAAGCAGGAGAAGTCTGGACCAAGACGAACCAGACAGCCACACACCCTTCCCGGCAGCCGTCCAAGCTTAGGGAAGAGACCCTGATGAGGCCCCCATGGAGAGCCCACAGGGCTCGAGGGCTGGTCCCCCAACTCCCGGGCACAGATGACAGTACAGCCAGACCCACGTGGAGTCTGAGGCGCCGGGAAGAGCCTGGCCTCCATCTATGGGGCGGGAGCCCACAGAGCACCAAGCCGCGACAACTGCCTTTACCTGCGACGGCCGTGCTGGCGGTGGTGGTGGTGGTGGCTGTGGCGTTGGTCGTGGTGCCTTTCTTGGTGCCCGTCACAAACTCAATCTGGAAAGCAAGGGAAGAGTGAGCCCTGTGCAAAGCTGCGGCTCCACACCTGCGGCCGTCGTCTGCTGCTCCCAGGGACAGGAGCTGGGCACTACACAAAGGAGGTACTGAGTCAACTCTGCTGTGATCGCCTGGGGGAGGGAGAAGTGTCTAAGAATAGCCTGAAGGGGACTTCACTTCTTAAAAGAGCTTCCCAAACAGAGACTGGGTCCCTCCCGGCCTCACCATATCCTGCACAAGCCCGGCCCCACCCCACCCACCGCCCCACCTCACATGCCCAGCACCGTTTGGCCAGGCCCCTCCTCCTCACACCCAGGAGGAGGCGGTGCCTGCCCGCACAGGGGAAGGACAGCTGCGGTCCCCAGGCGCTGCAGACACGTCCCTGCAATAAGCCTGGGGTGTGGAAGGGGGAGGGAAAGAGAGAGAAGGGAGATTCAATCAAGGGTTAAGAATGAGAAACCAGATCACCCCCTCACACCAGTTCCCACACTCCTGGCCGACAGCCAGCACCTCCGAGGACCCCCAGCTCGCCCAGCCACGCAGCCCCCCCGGCCTGGGGCTGAGGGCAGTGTCCCGGAGGCCACACAGCTGCTGCGAGGAGGGTCAGGCCAAACCGGAAGGAGGGAGGAGTTGGTGGCCTGAGGGCCCGGTGTTCTCTCTGGGGTCGGTCTCACAGCCAAGTTCATGTTCCCTGAAGGACCCAGACCTCACTGATCAGGGAGAAGTGGTGTTCACGGTTCTACAGTGACGGGTCGCTTGACATCTGACAAGGGGTATAGGGACACTGGGGCCAACTCGGGGGGCTGAGGAATGCACAGGCCAGAGCAAGCTGGGCCCAGCGACTAGAAGGAAATGGCCAGGGTGGCTCCGACGACACACAAGGGACAAAGCACCAGGGCTCTGCAGTCGTAAGGGTCGGGAGAGATGCAATGCATCAAACTAAGACAGCAAGAGACCAAACGGGAGCCACAGGGAAGCATCTTCAAGCTGAGACAGAGGAGGCTGGGCGTCGACAAGGCCTGTGAGTCCAGGAGGCATCTCTAGGGCTGCTCAGAGCATCACTAGGCACCGGCATGGGCCCAGGGCTGGGAGAGCCGTCTGGAACCCTCCGGGCTTTGCCAGCAGGACCAGGCACTCCAGACGCCTGCCCTTTCCATCTAGGTGTCTGTCCACCACTCACTTTTGTTCGCTCCTTCTTGGCCTTTTCCAATTTGTCCATTTCAATCTTCTGGGCTTTGGCTAGGATGACAAGACAAGCTGTTACAAGCACAGCCCCCGTGAGAGGCGACAGTCTAGGCCGCTGGAGCCGAGTCCAGAAGCCTACCTCCCCCTGCGTTCTTGTGAGACGGACTAAAGCAGCCTCCAGGCCTCATGGGCATGGGGTCCTTCTGTGAGAGGCAGAATTCGGGGTCGGCTCTGGGCCAGTGCAGAGCAGGGGCTTCCAACCCAGGGGCCTGGGGCTGCAGACTGTGCAGCCCCATCAGGAGGGGCCGGCTGCTCCCAGACTCCAGCTGAGTGCTACCACCTGGCAACACAGCCCAGTGTGGCCCGTCTTCCCACTGACCGAGAGAAGCAGGAATTATGGGTTATGTAGAATGCTGGCAACTGGTTCAAATTAAAACAAGACAAAACACATCTACCGGCCAAATCTGGTCCACAGGCTGCTGGCTGGAGACCTGTCTGTGGTTGAAGGGCTCGGACCCTTTGAAATTCCTCCCTGGCCCCCCAAAGGGGCCCCTAAGAAAATGCGTGCTCTTGCTGCCTCAGGACACACGGGTCTCTGCCTACATCCGCTTGGCTGGTCCCTTGCAGCTCCAACCCCAGCTCCGTCAGGGTTTCCTCAGTAAGGCCTTCCCACCCCGTCCGCCAGGCCGGGTGACCCTCCAGCCAAAGGCTCCCCCTCTGCACTCGGTACCCCCATCACCTTAACACTCGTCACTGTTGGAGCCTGTTCAACCACCTGCCCTCTCTATTGTATTCTAAGTCAGGGGGAGGGTCTGTCTCGTTCAAGACTGCAGACCCAGCCCCTTGGGCACAGCCTAACATAAAGGGGACCCTTGAGTGCGCTGGATGAATGGCTGGATGGGTGTGCGCTTTCCCACCCCCCACTCCTCTTAG